TTTTTTTATTTTCATTGCCGGTAGGTTACGGGGAAGGGGGGTGGGCCTGAACTTGCTGCTGCCGTGTTTTGTGCGGTGCTGCTTCCGCGGCGCAGCCTATCTCAGCGAGGTACCTGAAATAGCTCTTAAATCCTTACCACCACCCCCCCCCATCTCTTTCACCAAGAAGCTCCGTGTAACTGATACTTTCCCTCGAGTGCACTATACAATATTTACTGTCCACTTCAGTGGCAGGAAAAAGCTCCATTTGCTTTCCACTCTCTCTTCCCTCTGGGGCTCTCTCTCCGATCAAGGCAGATGGGGTATCGGTGGCAGGAGAGGGGTGTGAGCTGGGGGGGTTCACTCTCCTCAGGAAGCCTCATCAACTCCTAACTTCCAGATGAGTGTTGCTTGTGAGAGAGTATCCAACTGCTTCCTCTTTAGACTCCGTGCTTCCCGAGATAGGAGTGGAGAGGCAGGTAAGAGTTGAGTGAGGACCCCCCTCGCTCCGTGGCTTTTGAGGGGACATCTGCTAAAACTGGGAAGGGGCAGCTTCAAAACAGAGGGGCCGAGGTAACCTTTCACAATGTGGTGGAGGGTGTTCAAACCATGGAGCTCATCGGACTGTGGGCACGTGCTGTTCTGGCTTGAATTTTTGTGTTCAGAAAGCATCTGGATGAATTCATGGGAGAAATCTAGAGATTTTAAACAGATACACCGTCTTTGGCTCACAGAGCCCCTCAGTGCTATGTTGCTGGCAGCTGGAAGAATATCCTGGGAAAGCACCGCTGTATCCTGCCTTGTTTGTATGCCCTTTCTAGGTGTCTGCACCCAAGTCCTGCTCCTGTTTTTTCTTCCACTCAGGGGTGGGCTGATGTCACTAAGAAACCTGAAAACAGTCCTCAAGATACTTGGTATGAGGGACCTGGGGTGCCACCTGTGACTATCACACTCATGCTTTTAAGAGGCAGTTGTATGGTCACTCAGAACAGAAACATTAGCAGTATTAATTCTAGGCTGAGAGAAAAGCTGACTCAAAAGCTGTTCCTCATTAGTTACATTTTCATTGTTTCTCAGATAAGCCTAGACTAGTGTTTATCTTTGAGTCACAGGTTTTGCGCTCTCTTCTCACTGCTTTTTAATTACTTGTTGGTTCAGTTCTGGACTCTACTGATAAAGAATAGCTTGGGACAAAATGCGGCTGCTCCCTATACCCATCATGTTCATGCAATATCTTCACACAGTTGCAAAGAGTTGTTTTCAGTGTGCTTAAATACTTTCTTTAGAAATACGATGATCTGTTATAAACATTGTATTCAATTTCTGTTATGTTGGGGAAGGCAAAATTTACAAGCAATGAAAGTATGGTTTTAACTTACAAGAGAATTAGAAATAAAGGAACTACAGTGTATGAGATGCATTAATTTTCTATAACAATATTTAACCTTATTCTTCCATTTAAGGAGCAAAATCAAATCTCTCAGCTATTATGCTTTCTTGGTTTACCTTCAAACACTATTAACTTTGATATGATGGGGGCATGTATAAGTACAAAATTGCCAAGTTAATCTGAGAACAAAAAAGATAACTTCATTTGACCTTCCTTTCTCTTACCTCCCACCCTATCCTTGTTTCTTCTAAAGCTTGTAGAAGCAATTTGATGTTGATATTCAACTACACCACAGTGGTCTCGAAACAAAATTTTCATTGTAAAGACTTTTGTATTTTGTTCCTTATTTTACCACTGCCTACACATTCAGATCTCTAGTGGATTTTTGGAGTACTTTAAGCTTACTGACAAACTTACACAGGTGAAAGAGGTTTCACGGGATTTCACAGAAATCAAGCAATTTCTGTTGCTTGAGGAAGCAATGCAGCAGGGAAATTCAGCCTCAAGAGAAAAACCCTGTTAGTTGCTCATAGCTAATGCACTGCCATTGGTCATGCTGCTCTGCACAAGTGTGATGGTATCCTTCTCAAGACAGTTTCTGGTGTCATTTATTAGCAATATCATGTAAACCCAACCAAGGCTGGGGGGCTTACTCCTCTAGATCCTGTAACGGAAAGCTGCCACGTGTATCTTCTCTACTCCTAACTGTAAGCCCAGGAAGTTAGAAAGAAGGAAATGTTTCAGCTTTACTGGCGCTCGGAGACCTATCTTCATTTTTACCACTGTCTCAGAGGATAGTGAGGTAGAAAACGTAGTGATTACCGTATAACTTCAATACGGAGAGTCAAAATAGATTATAGGCTGCATCTTTTGGAAAGAAACACCAGAATGTAGAGTCAGAATGATTATTTCTCAGCAGATGGAAACTCAGGGGCACTCAATGAAATTACCAGACAGCAGATCCGCAATGAGCGCAGTGCCATTTCCTTTCATGCTACGTGTCATTCATGTGTAGAACTGCTGTGGTGTATTATGGCTTAACATACGAATGAGTTCCAAAAGTAATTAGGCAAAATAAAAGGAAAACAGGTATTGAACAGTGATCAGGATGTAACCTGCATTTCAGGAAGTTCATGAACTGCTGATTCCCTGCATTTCTGTGGCTGACTGAACAGGACACCTCTGTATGCTATGTCTATCTGACAGCTTGTTTAATTCTGAAAATAACATTCATAAACAAAATTTAGTGAAAACTTAACTACTGCTGTGGCCAAAGTATTAACTTTGCTTCAAGGTGCTCTGGGAGCGTCATTCAGAAAGTAGTTGAGCAGCATCCTGGAAGTGTGTGGAATCACAGTGGGACTTTAAAAAAAAAAAAAAAAAAAAAAAAATTTTAATTTCCTAACCATGAAACTGACGTAAAGACAGGAGTACTGCCTACAGCCTGTAAGTTTAGATCTTGGTTGACTGTTTCCTGTACCACAACTTTAATTAGACTAATTCTGAAGAACTTAATGTTCTTTGTGTTATAAAAATATTTTGGAATCGTATATTATATAGAGGCATTTACTTTTTCTGTGTTATCATGGCTTTAGCTATCAAAAGGACACGGGGCAATGGTTTTAAAATGAAAGAGGGACATAAAGAAGAAATTTTTTACGCTGAGGGTGGTGAAGCACTGGCACAGGTTACCCAGAGAGGTGGTGGCTTCCCCATCCCTGGAAGTGTTCAAGGTCAGGTTGGACGGGGCTCTGAGCAACCTGATCTAGTGGAAGATGTCCCTGCCCACGGGCATTGGGGCTGGACTAGATGATCTTTGAAGGTTCCCTTCCAACCCAAATCATTCTGTGATTCTGTGACAGTTACTAGGGAAAATAAGTGGGAAAGCAGCATTATGGATCTAAAAGTTTTCCTCAGCTTGTTTTGGGGGTGGAATGTGATACAGGATTTGCGTAGCAGTGGTTTATGTCTCTTGATTTCAGCTGGAAGTCATCTTGCCAATGCTTGGAGATCAGAAGGGAAGGTATCAAAGGAAAATAAACATTTAAAGTAACTTAATTTCTAGGAGGATGGAGAAGGGAATGATTAAAAAATAAAACAGTGTGATAAAGTTTAAAAGTATACAGCCCCTGGAGCAAAGCTCACGAGGACTGTGTTGTGAGTCAAGCAAACAAGATTCTATAGACCCCACAAGTCTAGTAAAGCTCACATTTAATAGGACTTATATATGAAAAATGGAGAGCTACTTTGTACAGCAAATATGTATATAGTCTGTTGTGTTTAAAATCTTTTATCAAATTAAATAGCGTATTGTTCTGATGAAGTCTGTCTTGTGACTGTTTACCACTTCTTTTTTTTTCCTGGAATGAAGAAAATTGCCAATATGGAGTACAAGTGAGGCCTGCTGTGGCAATACCATTCAGCCCTGACACTGTCCACTTTACTTGGGCGTAGTAACGGGATGCAACCCCATCTTTCTCTGTGAAAACACAAAAAGGAAAGAGTCCTGATACTCATGCTTGCTTGTTCACACCCACTCAGATAAAACAGTTCAAAGGAAAATGATTAGATGATGAAAGGCTCTGTCTAGAAGTCTAAAACTTATCAAAACTCTGTTAGGTAGTAAAGATGATGGTACTTAGTAAATTTAAAAATGTTCGGAAATTAGGTAATGTATCAGAATATTATCATTGTCGTGGACCTCATTACCATATCTCTGTTTTTATCCTGATCTAATGTAAGAATTAAGGGCTTGTGTCGTCAGTTCAGAGAGAGGGCAGACCCAGGATTAATATTGCTGCTCCGCTT